TTAGTCTGAGTTCTTATTCTTAGCACTAGACTTAAGATATAAAACCTTTTCCAATTATGTAAAAAGTTTTCATTAAGATAAGAGCATGGTCTCACCTTTAATATTAAAAAAAAAAAAAAAAAAAAAAAAAAAATATCTAATCGCCAATTTCAAATGAGAAAATACTTAAGAATGAAAGAAGTTATTTCCAGTAACTGAAAAAAAAGACTAAGAAAAGAAAAAAAAGACTACTAAAAAAAAAAAGAGAGCTAGTACTAATACCTAAGAGGTGAAGATTATTTACAGTAACCAAAAAAAGACTGCTGAAAATGATGCTTCTAGAGCTAATAATGACGAAGATTCCAAGTCGAAGAAAGTAAATGATAAGAACAAAATGACTATAGTAAAGCGTAATGAAAATGAGGATCTTGATCAATAAAAGATAGCTAAATAATGTGATAAAAAGAATAAACATCAGGTACTCGTTAATGATCAAAAATTAACAAAAAAAAAATGAGAAGTTAATTCTGATAACTGAAAAAAAAAGAAGACCACTAAAAAAAAAGGCTGTACTTATCTAAATACTAGCCCTAGTCCATTTCACGTCCAATCACCAATTTCAAACGAGAAAAATACCTAAGAGGTAAAAGAAGTTATTTCTAGTAACCGAAAAAAAAGACTACTAAAAAAAAAAAGAGTAGTTCTAGTAACTGAAAAAAAAAGGCTGCTACTTATCTGAATACTAGCCCCAGTCCATTTCATGTCCAATCACCAATTTCAACAAGAAAAATATCCGAGAGGTAAAGAAGTTATTTTTGGTAACTAAAAAAAAAGATTGCTTAAAAAAAAAAAGAGAGAAGTTAGCTCCGGTAACTAAAAAAAAAAAGACTGCTAAAAAAAAAAAAGGCTAGTAATCTGAATACTAGTCTTAGTCCATTTCACGTCCAATTGCCAATTTCAAATGAGAAAAATATCTAAGGGGTGAAAGAAGTTATTTCTAGTAACCGAAAAAAAGACTACTAAAAAAAAAAAAAAAGAAGTTAGTTCCAGTAACATTCGCCAATTTTAAACGAAAGAAAAAAAATCAATAGAGATAGTGGCATTTTATTGTTGAGCAAACTTTATGCTGCTACATCCTTTCACACTGTCAGAATTCAATAGAATCTTCGTTCCCACTAATCTTGCAATTTTGTTAAATAGGGATAGTAGAAATCTCAAACATGGGCAATAAAAATCTCGTTAATCCACTTATGCGCGCCACTAGTTAAATAAAACATTTGAATACTTTAAGAGAATCTGTTACTCTACGCCATTTGTCCAAGATTCACACAGTATTCTAGCTAGTGCAAACTACAAAAAAGAAAACGATAATAGAATAAAAAAAAAGGTTACAATAGTAAACAAAACACGTATTTATATACCTGATTTAATAAGGGTAATACAGAGATTGGCTGATTATATAGAGTCGTCGATGGGTGCACAACTGTGTGGGTGCACAGAAAACATTTTCCCTAAATTCTTAATTAAAATTATAAAATTTACTATCTAATTTCAATTACAAACATTCTTGGCTATACAATTAGTTTATTTTAAGTTATATTACTTTAAATTTTAAAAAAATTATACCAATATAAATTTAAAAATATATTTATATAGTAAAAATTAGTAAAAACTTCAAATTGAAATTATTTCTTATTTATTGGTTTAATTTCAAAGAAATTTTATATTTGAAATTAGCAAACTTATCTTTATAACTTTTATCAAAAATTTTATAAATTTATCTAAGAAAAAAAAATTTATAAGCATAAATATCCTATAAGGTGGCTCAAAACTACTATATAAAATTAGATTAAATTAGATTAAACTAAAAGTTGTAGGAAAAAAATATTTTTTATAAAATTTAAAAAAGAATTTAAAGTTATCAGTTTTCTTATACAGATACCCAAAGAGTTGGATTATAATATAAAATATTAAATATAGTAGTTGATTTTAAAAATTAGCAGATAATCTAACTTGATTGTGTACTAAATCTAGTACGGGTAAATCCAATCCATTAATTATTGTCAATTGATTAGTTGCAAACTTTGACAACGATTAACCAATTTTCGATTGGAACACTTAAAACTTTCATTTTAGGGCCAGGTTTTAGAAATTTGGGAAGATTTTTTTGGGGATGTAGAGCATTTTACTTTGAGTACCTACTACAGTCATACTTGAGTTATTTCCAAGTTATATTTTTATGTTCTCCAAGTCACTTCTCATCAAATTATGGTTACTTTTTAAAATCTTATAACTATAGAATTTAAAATTTTTTAACCGATAATAATTATTATTGGCTGCTTCGCATCCAATAACTCTATCGTTATATTATTTTCAACTAGTATATTTATCGGCTAAAAGTTATAAGTAGTTAAATTTAGTATAGTGCCATATTACTATATATACCCTGTATACGTGGAGTCATGTTATTTGCATAAGCTATATTGATTTAAATACTAGGAAGTAGGTGCTGTTATTGTCCGAAGCTAATAATAATAGATAAGCTTTTATTTTTAGGAATTTTCCATCTTGTCGGGCTGATCTGTGTCGATCTGTTATATTGATTTAAACGCTGATTGGATATATATCGCGTGGGCGGAATTCCACAATAATTGACGCGAAGGTTAGTTTATTCTGATCTGATCAGCTTTCTGTAGAACTGAATTACTATTATTTTCATTATTCTTGAAATAACTTCCGCTTCTTTCCGAAAAATATTCTCGTATTGTTTCATTGATCATCTATATCGGAACTTTCGGGCTTTGGCGTCAACCCAAATTTGGCGCATTTTATGACAAGTGACTTGGAGCATCATAATAGAATAAATTTCCTTTTTTTACAGAGTTATATCCACACCTTAGTTATCCCCAAAAATGATTTGAAAAAAAGGGTAATATAACTCAAGTATGACTGTATCCTTTACACCGTCTTACAGGCAAATTTGCCTGTATCTTTTTGACAAATGCACTTTTCTGAGCAGATCATAAGTAAATTGCAATTTAAGGGTATATAGTGTCATAAGCAAATTGAATCTCCTATTCGAGGGCTTTCTGCCAATATCATTTTTGGCAGTGCATAGATGCTGTGTCTTTGAATTATTCGCTTACTTTTTGAGGGCCTTTAGAAACCACATGACATTAAATATCGGAGAAATCGTCAGATCTTAATCCGTGTATTTTGAGGTCAAAAACTTGATATTCGACTAAGATGATTGGATTGCGTTCCTGCAAATTTGCCTGCGATTGCTAGACGGTGTAAGTAGTGATGGGACCTCCTGAATCATTAATTGATTGATCAAATTATTAATTATATATGGCACAGCTAATTAGTCAGGATGTTTAAAAAACGAAAAGTTGCGTCAATATTTTTCTCAATAATTGCTCAGATATTTGCGGACTAAACTTTATTAAATCCGTTGATAATTTATCTAATTCATAGTATCGATATTATTAAGCGATGATCGAAGTTATTATTAATACAGTAATAATATTAATAACACATTATTAATTCATATAATTAACTAAAAACTCCGAGGTCCATCACCTAGGCGATTTACTTATTTGCGTCGGTAACGCAAAACAAAAAAGGAAATTAAAAATAAACTAAGTGCGTAAAAATAGAAGTTTAGGATTAGCGATAAGTTAGAGTTTCTTATATGTAAAATTTCATCCCGTTATTTTTATTAGTCCACAAAGGTCGATTTAAACACTAGTTTTTGAGTATTTTCGCTTTTCTTTTTTTCTTCTTTCGCACATGTTCGGATTCTATGTCGGGAATACCCGAAATTTGTGTTCTTACTGATTGGCCATTTCCTTTTTAGAGTAAGTGGATGCCATCACTAGGCGTTTGTGTTTGTAGCGTTAGTCGATTTTATCGACTTAGCTGGCTTAGTCAACCGATTTTCCAAAAAATCGACTTAGTCAATTTTACGTTTATCGTTATATAATCAGATTCGGTACATTACCTCTCTTATCTTCCAAAAACTCGACATAGTCGATTTTATTGTTTATATTAAAGTAACCAATCAGATTTGGTACATTACCTCTCTTAGTACATAGTGCTAAGAGTAGGTACCGAAAATTCCGAAAAGAAAATTAACGAGCATAAAATAAGAGCAAGGTCGCGACAAAAATTTGATGAAATATTAATCGACTTTGACTTAACAAATTTTAAATATCAATTTAGTCAAGTCGAAATTTAGCTAAAATTTGGTCACTAAATCCGAGTATTTTGTCCCCCAAATTAACCTTTAGTTACAAAATTACATATTAATAAATCAATACCAAACCTCTGATCTAGACTGATAACGCGTCTAACCTATCTTCCCTACCTTTGTTAGACATATAGATTTATTATAACGACGCACCCTAACCGGAAACATCAGCCAAAAACTATATTTATATATTAGTAGTCAAAATTTCCAAATTTTGGGGTATTTCATAAATTTGCCGCAATGGTCAAACATATATGTCAAAAAAACTAATTGAGATTTTGAGAAAAGTGGAACATAACTTTTTTGAAACGGTTCTCACAAATAGTTTCAATCAAAAGAAATCAGAAAAATAATTGTATGAATCTTTTAGAATTTTACGTTTTCTCCATAATTAAATGACCTAAAATGTTTTTAACATGCTAAAAAATAATTTGACCATACTGTAGTAAAATGAACAAGTTTTGATACGTACTTTTTTTTAATTTACCATTGTTAGGACGTACTGTACATATGTATTTATATAGTATTTAGTAAAAGTAGGGTAAATATGTATCGAAAAGCATAGGTGCGCTTGGTCTCGTGATTAGAATAATTCCGGACAGCCAAAGGTGCCGGAAATGAATTTAATTAAAGGACTTTAAGTCCGCAGAATACATTGAATTGATAATTTTAAGTAATTGATAATTTTAAGTAATTAGTAATTTTAAGTAATTTGAACTGAAACGATGATATGCTCCCGGAAGATTAGCAAGTGAGATTGCGCCAGGTATCATCGTAACAGTAGAGCGAGTGAGAAGCAGCATCAGCCGGTGGTTTCCCGCCTGCTCGTAGCAGGCCGGCTGTTAAATAGGAAAATGACAGAATCAGGAGACTGTTCCGACCATAATGTGCGGTGGGAGAGGTTGGGTCGAGAAAATGCAAGTTAAATGAATTGGTTCTTATGAGAGAGAGCGTGTAGAATTGCTTTCCTTCGACGACCTTTATATATTAGTCGTTTGGTGGCTTTCCGGTTTTGCATGAATTTATTACTTTACTTTGATGTCATTTCCGATCGATTTTTATGCGTGTAACAGGGCACGTGTCGTATGTCCCTTGACCGAAGCGCATGAGAGTATGATCTGACGTTGATGTCATTTACCGATCGATTCTTGGTTCGGGTAACCGGGTCGGGCACGTGCTATATGTCC